TAAACCAAGCAAACCAAATTATGACTAAGATTGAGGCCCTGGAAATATTTGAATGTGATCATTTCCTTTCAGAAATGTTCTGCAAACCATTATTTTTATTTAAAACAAAATGGATAAAAGATCTAAATATACAGGGTGTAGCAGAAGTCAAGGCATAGCCGAATCAGAATACGTTTTATGATTTTAAAAAATAGGGAAAAGATTACCATCCTTTGAAGCCGATTAAGTGGTTCTGCCCCAGATGCCTAATAGACTCTGAAGGGTTCCAGAAGGAGCTTGGGGAGATACCTGACTCCCTTGTCCACGGTCTGGCCGAGACCCTGGGGGCTGCCTGGAATAGGGCAGCATCCGGGGCACTGGACCGGATTGTGCCTTTGCGACCTCTCCATGGCGGTGGATCCAGGAAAGCTCTCTGGTTTACCGAGGAGCTACGGGAGGTGAAGCTCCAGAAGAGACGTCTAGAGCGACGCTGGAGGACCAGTAACTCCAAATCTGACCGAACACTCGTAAGAGCCTATATTAGAATTTATTTAGTGACGATACGGGTGGCAAAATGTTCACATTTTCCCGCACTTATTGCATCTGCTGATTCGCGCCCAGCCGCCCTATTTAGGGTGACTCACTCCCTCCTTAATGTAGGGGGAGTGGAGGAGCCCTTGCAGGGTAGACCTGAGGAGTTTGTGCAGTTTCTGTCAGATAAAGTCGCTCAGATTCGGATGGACCTGGACTCTGACTGGGCAATTCCGACCGAGATGACGGGGGCAGGTCTTAGTCCTATTGTTGGGATGAGTTTGAGCCTGTGACTCCTGAGGAAGTGGACAAGGCTGCAGGGGCGATGAGTTCCTCCACTTGTTAGTTAGATCCGTGCCCCTCCTGGCTGGTCTCGGCCAGCAGGGAGGTGACATGAGGCTGGCTCCAGGCTTTAGTTAACATGTCCTTGAGGGAGGGGTCCTTCCCGCAACCATTGAAGGAAGCGGTCATAAGGCCCTTCTTCAAGAAGCCTTCCCTGGATCCAGGAGAATTAAAGAACTTTCGTCCAGTCTCCAACCTACCTTTTGTGGGAAAGGTTGTAGAGAAAGTGGCACTTCAGCTCCTGCGGTCATTGGATGAAAGGGATTATCTGGACCCTTTTCAATCTGGCTTCAGGACTGGCTACAGCACGGAAACTGCTTTGGTCACACTGATGGATGATCTCTGGTGAGCCCGAGATGGGGGGGTCATTCCTCCATCTTGGTGCTACTTGACCATTCAGCGGCTTTCGATACCATTGACCATGGTATCCTTCTGGGACGACTAAGGGAGTTGGGAGTGGGAGGCACCGTGTTACAGTGGTTCTCCTCCTATCTCTCTGGTTGGTGACAGTCGGTGTTGGTAGGAGGACAGAGGTCGACCCCTAGGCCCCTCATTTGTGGGGTGCCTTAGGGCTCGGTCCTCTCTCCCCTCCTATTTAACATCTACATGAAGCCGGTGGGTGAGATCATCCGACGACACGGGGTGAGATATCAGAAGTATGCTGATGATACCCAGCTGTGTATCTCTACGCCACATCAATTCAGTGATGCAGTGGATGTGATGTGCCGGTGCCTGTGCCTAGACTCACAGCTAAGATTAGAGCAACATCTGACAACTGTGGCTAGGGGGACCTTTGCACAAGTTCGCCTGGTGCATCAATTGCGACCCTACTTGGATCGGGAGGATCTCCTCACAGTCACTCATGCCCTTGTCACCTCACTGTTAGATTATTGCAATGCCTCTACATGGGGCTACCCTTGAAAAGTGTTCAGAGACTACAGTTGGTCCAGAATGCAGTCATGCGAGCTATCGTGGGTGCACCTAGGTACACCCACATTACACCAATTCTCCGTGAGCTGCAGTAGCTCCCTATTCGTTTCCGGGCACAATTCAAGGTGTTGGTTATTACCTTTAAAGCCCTACATGGCTCAGGGCCAGGTTATCTTCGAGACCACCTTCTACTACATAGCTCCCAGCGACCGGTAAGATCCCAGAGTGTTGGTCTCCTCCGGGTCCCGTCAGCTAAACAGTGCCGGCTGGCGGGCCCACGGGGGAGGGCCTTCTTTGTGGCTGCCCCAGCTTTCTGGAATCAGTTACCTCCTGAGGTCTGGACCACCCCCACCCTATTGGCCTTCCGAAAAGCGATGAAGACCTGGCTTTTCCGGCAGGCCTGAGGCCGTTGATCTCGCTGTTGTGATCTGGTGAGATCTGGCCATGAATGGTGTGAATGGGTTTTAATGTTTTAATTTTTAAATGTTTTTATAATGTTTTTTTTTAAAAAAAATACATTGTAAGATGCCCTGAGTCTCCGGAGAAAGGCGGCATATAAATTGAATTTTTATTATTATTATTATTATTATTATTATTATTATTATTATTATTATTATTGAATAATTATTATTTTTAGTGAAGCATTTTAACAAAATTCTCTAAGAATTGAACCTTTCATATTTTAGATTTACGTATGTTGAAGAGATGGAAATATTCAAGGATAACACTCTGTGGCTCTTTATTCCTTTCCTTTAAAGGGTAATCATTTTCTGACACTAAAAGCATCCTGCATCTAATATGCACATTTATAAAAACATAAAATGCAGTGGGGAGGGATCCTGGAGAGAGAATTTAATCCTTTCCTCCCTTTCTGTATTCCTGAAGATATCAGACAACAAAGGGAAGGATCTGATTTGGATGAAAATTCCTTTTTGTATTTTTACTGACTTTTTTCCCGCTTTACTCCTGCTCTTGGTATTCAACTACCCCTTCCTTTTTATATTCCTATTACCTATTCAATACATTCAAGGTAAAATCCCCATGGCATCTAGGACTCATCACATATCGTGGATGTCCTATGGCTGCTTTTCTCTTTCCCACCTATTTCACAATGAAGTACATATAGATACAAGTATCGGATAGGATCCAATGCATCTCCTGGCCTGCCTGCTCAACTGGAATTGGGCTGTCTGTAATGACAATTTGACCACAGCATGATCTACAGCTCAGTTAAGGGATATTTCACTGGTTATGTGGGAAATGGACCTCACCTTCTTAGCAGTAGACCAATTTCTGTTAAAGGAATTTGACTCAACTTAATACAGTTTTCACATATAAATTATGTAGGAGTAGATTACATATCAGGATATGCCATAATTTTTGAGCTAAATGTCACACTTTGTCATTAGATTGCACAAATGTACCACAGAAGCTTCTGGGTAGGTGCCCACCCATATTAGACCACAAATATATCATGGGGCAAGTGAGATGGCATCTGTTTTATAGTAAGGAGTTGGTCCACCTACATGGCAGCACCTAGTTGACTCCCTAAAAAGTTAAACAGGGATATAATTAGTATTTGAATGAGAGATCACTAGATAAGAAGTCAAAAACATACAGATGGTCCTTGCTTAACGATCATTTGTTTATGATCATTCAAAGTTACAATGACCACAAAATGGGTGCTTTATAATCTGTAAAGCAGCCCAGTCAACAGCTGGTTGTGCTTCCCCCTCCGTGGTCACATGACCATGTCTGGTAGCTTTATGACTGGTTGCAGCATTCCATGGTCACATGACTCCAATTTGCAATAGGTTTTGCCAACTTCTGGTTTTCAAATGAATGGAGTCATTCAATGAGCATGGCACTCAATTAATGACCATGGAGTTCACTTAAAACTGTAGTATTTGCTAATAACACTAGTGTTATAAAAGTTATAAAAGACCAGAGAATCACTTCTGTTCACATGGATACCTCAATTTATGATTTCAATGACTTACCACTATCGTTGTAGGTTCAAATACAGTTGTAAATCAAGACCTACCTGTATCCTGGAAGAAGGCAATACCAAACTGCTTTGGCATCATTACCAAAAGAACTGAACGGATATGTCTGTAGTATCTGTAGCTTTGATAATCTTGTCATGTGATGATTTTACAATGGAGGCGGAAATTGTTATAAGAAGGCAGGCTAAAATATAAATTTCACATGCCAGAAATTATTCAAAAGTTGCTAATGTACTCCCTGTAACTAGCTGTCCTTATGCCACTTTCTCTTGTTATGTCCTCCCCCTCCGTTTATGTTATATTAGACAACCTGTGACCCCTTGACTCATCGTTTCAGAGATCCTTTCTTACCAGTTTCCTCAATGCCTTCAACAATAGCAGCTTGTAATGTACTAGAAAAATTCTTAAAAATTCAGAGACATTTGAAGATGCATCTTCCTTGAAAGTAGTTGATGTTGAACTGGGTAGCATAGTCAAGCATCAGTTGACCACAGGAAATGTTTCATATTTTTTACTACGTCTTTATTTTATGTCGTAAAATGTTTTATAAAATTTGCCAAATTTCAATTTTATAGGAGTCCTGTGTCTTAGATTTTAGATGCATTCTGTAAGTTAGTCCATTTGCACTACTTTGGTTCAAAAGGTTTTGACCTATGATGCACCAGTTCACCCAGTTAAAGGTTACAGGAGCAAGAGTTTTAGTAGTATATGTTGCATTGCAATTGGGTTTTCATTTTCTGATTATGTATATGATTTTTGCAGAAATTTCAATCATGCTGTCCAAACCTTCCTTACAGACCATTTAGCCTTATTAGTGCTGGTGATTGTGGACACTTTGTCCATTGTTATCTGGAAAAATAGATTACCAGCAGGACAACAAAATTAGTTGGTTGGTTTTAGAGAGTGATTTCCCCTCCCCTTAATAAATACCCATTTGGCTTTTAAAGAACTGGAAAAATGGATATGGCCTGGGACTTAATCCAGTGCATAAACTTTTCTCATCTGATCCTAAAATTCTTTAAGAAGATCCAATCCCTCTTCCCAATTTCCATTTCTCTTTAGTGTCCCTCTCCCTTATTTCTGTATTCTGATTCACTCCTGATGTATTCTCTTCCCTAGGGAAGGTAACTCTAATATCTCCTGGTTTTCAAATCCTTAAAAATGGTAATTGCTTTCTTCTTTTTTTCATTCTTCCTCCTGATGCACAAACAGTATCACGACTGAACAGTCTTGAGGCAGCGGTCCACCGTCTCAACGTGCAATTCTATCACATGGATGTTCGAGTGTCACAGTTCTCCCAAGGTCTGGCTGAATTGAAAGGGGGCCTGGCTCAGGCTAGTGAGTCACTTGCCTCTCTGAATGAAGTTGCCACACGCAATCAGAAAGAACTTGGACGCATTGATGGTGAGGATGGAAAAGGGAAGTGTAATCAGTCTTCCTCCCCCCCCCCCACCCCAATTCTATAGCAATGTTTCTGAATTTCAGCAATTTTAAGAAGTGTAAATTTCAGTTCCCAGAATTCCAGCCAGCATCTTGGCTGGGGAATTCTGGCAGTTGAGATCCACTCATTGTGAAGTTGCTGAGACTGAGACATGCTGTTCTATAGGATCTGAGTTACAACTCAACACTTAAAAGCCCAGAATGGAGGAAAATTGCACTAGCAAGTTTGCATGAAATTAATCCCAGCAACAACAAAGATGGTCAAACTGAACTTAGATCTCCAGAAGCATAAGGGTCTTTGATCTCCAACCTCCAAGGAATGGAGGACACTGTCCAGAATCTTTGGAAATTGGAGATCACCCTGAGAGCTGGTTTCAGTTGCCAAATCCCTCCAAAAGGGAAAGCTCATCACTTTATTTTACATAAAACAGACATCCTACTTGAAAGAATCAGTTATAACATACTGCTCAGGGCTTGCTGATCTCTGCTATCTGCTGAGACAAAAAGATCAAAGGGAAGGTTATTCAAAGGGTTGGCTGAAATAAGTGCATAAGTTGAGTTGAGAGAACCAAGAGGAAGAATCGGTTTTCAAAGTCATTCCCCTGCTGTTATGTCCACTGTACTGTGATGCAGTTGTGAAATATTGGACTAGAATTGATTGTGGAAAAACAGGTTTAGGTTCAGCCACAGAAAATCACTGGATGACTTGGGTGTGATCATCCCGTTTGCCCAACCTATTTCACAGGCTTGCTGCTGTGTGCAAATAAATAAATTATTATTTATACATTTTTCACAAACTTTTATAAAATTCATAGGTCAGGGATCTGGCCCTTTGCATTCTATATATTTGATTTATATGCCGCCCTTCTCCGGAGACTCAGGGCGGCTTACAATGCGTTAAGCAATAGCCTTCACACTTTTGTATATTTATACGAAGTCAGCTTATTGCCCCCACAAACTGGGTCCTCATTTCACCTACCTTAGAAAGGATGGAAGGCTGTCAACCTTGAGCCTTGGAGAGATTCGAACCAGCAGTAATTGCAGACAGCTGTGTTAATAACAGGGTGCTTAGACCACTGTACCATCAAGGCTCTGTATTTCTAGGCATTCTGTAGCTAGTGATGGCATACAAAACCACTAAGAGCCGTAGTGTGGTTAAATGTAGTATTGTAGGCTAACTCTGCCCACTACCAGGAGTTTGATCCTGACTGGGTCAAGGTTGATTCAGCCTTTCTTCCTTCTGATGTCTGTAAAATGGGGACCCAGATTGTTGGGGGCAATGTGTGGATTCTACAAGATGATTAGAGAGTGCTGCAAAGCACTATGAAAAGTATACAAGTCTAAGTGCTATTGCTATTACTACTAATCACTCTCTTTGCCCAACCCAGGTTGCTTGCGGGGCCGGCGCACTCAAACAAAATGCTTCCTGATCTTCAAGCACTTTGAAGTCTATGACGCAGCCCAAAAACTTTGTGAAGCCAGAGGAGGGCATTTAGCCATGCCAGTGGATGATACTGAGTTGACTGTCCTGCGCCGCTATCTTTATGATGCTTTTCAGCCCTACAACTGGCCATCCTGGGTGGGCATCCATGACCGGCGTTCTGAAGGGTTGTGGCTTTTTGAGAATGGTCAACGCGTCTCTGTCTTTGATTGGTACCGAGACCATCTGGTGACTCAACCCAATGGTGGTACCCGTGAGAATTGTGTCTCCCTCAGCTCGGATGATGGGAAATGGTGGGACAATGACTGTGAAAGGCGCATGTATTACATCTGTGAATATCGCCTCTAGTGTTGTATCACTTTTCAATGCTCAGTCCTTGGTGGTTTTGGTTGCATTGGTACCTTTTCACTACCGGCCTATGGGTGCAGCGACAGCTAAAAGTTCTGGACATTTCGCCCCTCCCCAATTTTATATATGGATCTATTTGCTTTCCTTTCTTCACCTGCCATACCCCCCCAGCCTAATACTCTCCAAATGTAAGGAATGGTAGCTTCCTGATATTTTTGTCAGGATGAATTTTTTTATACTGGGCAAATTTCAGTCCCAAACAGACAGCATTTCACTCAGAAAGCAGTAATATCCTATAGTCTGCAGAGAAAACTGGATTTTTTTAATTCTTTTATTAAAATAGGTAATATGTTCAGTGTCTAAAAGGATTAATCGGTGTTTTGCTTTGAAAAGTCTCTTGAAAAAAAACTAAAAAGGACACTTAGAGCTCATCCTTCTTTGGTGACATTCCTGAATCACTGGCACGCCCCCTGCAGGCCACAAAAGACAATTTTCTGAAATGCCAAGCTTCTGGTGGTGGTGGTAGGGAATCACTTATTTAGCCCTAAGCAAATGGAAAAGATACATAAAGTGCCTCTTGCTTCTTCTTTTTAGCGCATAGTAAGCATGCAGTAACAGTTGAGTAGGAAATCAGTAGTCATTACATGCCAAAGCCAGGAAAAAAAGCCTAGAATCTACATCTGTATTGAAAATCCTCTTTACAACACTGTGTTCACTGAGAACATGGAGATAACAGAATCCACTCCTCATTGGATCTCTTTAGGGATGGCGGAACTCAAACTTAGTTGGGATCATTGTCTTCTGAAGTTTTAGCTCTTTGTCCTTACCCCATTTAACTGATCCAGGCACTGATTATTAGCATTGGACGAAAATGTCCTTTTTGGAGAGCTTCTTTCCTACAGCCCTGCACTTATACTGCAGTTGGGATGAAAAAAGTTTCCATCCTGTATGATTTGGATGGGTCATCTGACCCTGCAAGACTGCATGCAGCTCAGAGGTGGGTTTCAGCAGGTTCTGACCAGTTCTGGAGAACCAACCGGTAGCGGAAATTTTGAGTAGTTCAGAGAACCGGTAATAAATGTTCTGACTGGCCCCGCCCCCATCTATTCTCTGCCTCCCAAGTCCCAGCTGACTGGGAGGAAAAGGGGATTTTGCAGAATCCTCCCCCTGGAATGAGGTGGGAATGGAGATTTTGCAGTATCCTTCCCCTGCCACGCCCACCAAGCCACACCCACAGAACCGGTAGTAAAAAAAATTTGAAACCCACCACTGATGCAGCTCCTAAACCCTTTTGGAAAAGCTGCTTCCAACTACAACTTCTGAAAATCAGCCCTGGTTGATCTGACCTTTTGAGACACAAAACAAATACTATGCAACATCAATGAAGAAATTGCCCTAAACTCTCCCTTAAACCAAAGGGGAGGTGGGAAGGGACTGGAAACATCCATTCGTATGCTTCAGTCTGACCTATTTTGTACCATTACCCTACCCTTGAATGTTAACACTGCCAACCCAACCATATGCCATGGCCATATTAACACGATGACTAAATCAATTTCCTTTTTAAAAGTACTACACACTAAAAGAGGTTACGACCGATTCTACGTTTCTCATAGACTGAAAGTGATGCAGCATGGACTCACAGCTTTCTGGAAGCAGGATGAGTAACAACTAACTTGTTTCCATTTAATACAAATACTCCAGGAGTAGAAGCAAAATTACATTAGGAGTTGAACTCTTGATGACTTACTTGGATGCATTAATGTAGCTGATGTTTCCCATTCCTATTCCCCTCCATTGTTTGCTGATGTCTTCTACTGGGATATTTTTTTTCAAACTCCCTGTCATTCGACAGCCCTTGACTTCCCTCTGAGTATTAAGTACAGCCAGCACTGCTTAGCTTTCTAAATCAGCCAAGGTTGGTTAGGTACTGTCACCTGCTGAGAGCCATATTCTATTAGCTGTATCAAATCAGGGTCATATGAAGAAAGATGGTGTCCAACAGCTGGTGGGTCTCATATCATCCACCAGATGCTACCAAACTACAACTTCCAGCAGGAGCATGGCAATAATGGGACACACTAAGAGATGCCATTCAGCAACTTGTAAAAAACCTTGTGTATCACCCCTGCAGCTTTAGGAATAGTATTTGTCCTGGCTTAAGCATTAACTCTCTTGTGGCATTGACCTCTATAGGGCAGCCTGACTTCCCTTTTGGCATTAATAAAACAAAAAACAAAAAAAAAACCAATGGCTACTAAATACTCTGATTCATAAAGGGATAGCTATGAACAATTGACCAGATGTGATCTGCAGACAGGCTATTTTTGGAACCGCCACGAGGCAGCTCCATAACTTCTATTATTCCTAGCCAATGTGAAGAAATGTTGGATGAGACTAGCAACTAAAGCCAACGGAACTGGATTATAAAGTCAGAGGGTAATGTCTTATTCACGTCAAACAAGGCCAGAGGGGGATGTTTTCTATAGTTTTTAGTTCTACTGCATCCTTGGGTGTTGGTGCCCTAATGAATCACCACTCCTATTACAATCTGGAGAAAAAAAACTCTTCAGTCTTCCCCCTCCCCCATCTTAGTACAAGAAGCACCATCTTTTTAAAAATAAAATGTCTTATTTTCTTGTTGCTCTTTGAATTATTACTCACCCTTCCCCAAATAAAACTAAATAAAACTTGTTTTAAAGTGGAGAGGAGGAAGGATCCTGCCTGTATAAACCTGTCTTCGGCTGTTCCTCTTTCATGTGATAACCCTAAACTTTTTAATGTGTTCCAACAGGAGGGGAGTATGACATAGGAAGAATAAGGAAGGCCTTACGTGGGGGAACGGCATGATCAAGAGGCAATGAAAAGTCTAGTGGTTAAGGCACCAAGCTAGAAAGAGGGAGACTGTGAGTTCTAGTCCCGTCTTGGCCATGAAAGCCGCCGAGTGATCTTGGGACAATGGAACAATCACTCTCTCAGCCCAATTTATCTCACAGGGTTCTTATTGTGGTGGGGAAAACAGGAAGTTGGATGTATTTGCCAACTTGAATTATTTGTAAAAATAATAAAGGCGGGGTATAAATAAATCAAATAGAGAAATGGTTAATGTTTTTTTTGATTTAAAGGTCAATTGTCCCCCAAATGGAAGGACGGCCAGAGGAATCACTGTACTTTTCTAGCATCTTTTCTTCTTTTGGCTCTGTATCTTGATTTTGGGGGATGGGTGAGAAGAGAAAGGAATGCTACATATATTCACAGAATCCAGAGTGCAAGCAGTATATCTCAGTACCGGGAAGTCATCCATCAATGATGCTGTCCATCATCATTCCACAAGTTAGTAAGAGAAAAGGCTTGGTTCTGCAAAGCAAAAACACCTCGACACCAACCACATGTCTGATTCTTGAAATATTCCATGCCCTCCTTCTGTTTCCCTGAACCACTGCTGTCATTATTTTCAGCTCCCTACACCAATTTATTCCCCCCCACTCTTATCTTTTTCCCTGTTAGGACTCTGTCTCTCTATGGTAGGCATGGACTAGTCCACTCCTATTCCTCTTTTTATGTCCCCACTTACTCTTAATATATCATTTCTATCCTCAAATGATCTCTCCTTCTGACCCATACATCGTTTGTTCCCACCCCCTGTGGAATCTCTTCTCTGAGAGGCGAGGTATACTGTATATAATACACAGCTATACACTTTCAAAAACATTCATTTCCCTCACATTTATGGAATATTCCAGCACATCAGCCCTCCTACTTCTCTGGAAGATTCAACATGATCTAATTCGGCCTTCCCCCCTCCCCCCTCCCAACAAAGCCTACTAAAAGACACAGCTGTTTCTTTTATTCCAGATCAGCCTTCTTAGCCGGTGCTCTACAACTTCATTGAACTAGTATTTTCATAGCTCCCAATCTGCTGGTGGGAGTAGATGGAAACTGTATTTGGATCCCTGGATGATGAAATTCAAGGAGGTCTGCCCTAGTTTGGCTCATGGACTTTCCCTCCCCCTCCCCCACAAAACCCCCCAAATGGTTTGTTCTATTTCCCTTCCTCCAAAACACACAGACCGTAGTTGCCCTCTGGACTTTTTGGCCAGCCAAGCAGAGGAAAATAGATACTGGCCACATGGGAACTTTTCTCCCATTTCAGTCTTTCGTAGTGGAATACTCTAGGATCCTGCAGATAGATGCTCACCCAAGCCTGCTTTCTTTGTGTACTCTAATAGAGCATTGCACGGTTGCCATGGAGGAATACAAGCATATCAACATGCTCTGGTGTCAGGGCTTGGCGCTTAGTGTGGATGGCATCTCCAGTGCTGCTGAAGAGCCAGCCAGCAGGCACGGAGGTGGCAGGCACTCCTAGGAGCTTGCGGGCTGCCCGGGCCAGTAATGGGTACTGGGTGTGATGGGTCTTCCACCACTGCAGGGGTTCCTGAGCGAGGGCAGATGCTTTGCTGGTCTGGAAACTGGCTGTCTCCTGCTCAGCTTGCTGATGGGCAGAGCTGATTCCTGGGCCACCACGCATGCTGCAAAGATCTCCCAGCAGGAATTCAATGCCTGCATCTTGCTTTGGCAGCTTGGAAGGGGGCGATGAGGAAGCCACATCAGGCAGGCTGGAGGTTAAGAAGGCAGGGGCCTCGGCCAAGTGAGAGACTTCGGCCTTGAGCAACTGCAAAGTTTCCACCCGATCAGAATGGCTCAAGAAGTCCAGACCATGAAAACGGGGGTCCAGAGCACAGGCCAGATTGAGGGCCTGGTTTACTTCAGGGCTGGAGAAATGGTGGTTGAGTTCTTTCCGAGCTGCTGCTTTGGCTTCAAGGGCCAGAGCAGAGTCCCACTCACTGGCTACCAAGTGCTTGTAGAGGAGGCTAGTTAACACAGGCTTGACAAGGGCGAGACTGGAAAAGGGGTCTTTGGTAAATGTTGAGGTAGCAATTGCCATGGGCTTGAGAACTTGGACTATGTCCTGAAGGGCAGCCCAGTCCTGTGGGTGCAGGACTGCCTCCCCATCAGGACCGAGTCCTGACAGAGACTTACTATACTCTAGCAAATTCTGTAGAATTGTGTAGACACAGTGCCATCTGCTCCCATCTCTCAGGAAACGACTGAGGTGGGCTTGCAGGAGGGGCTCCTGGAGCCATAGTTTTTCATTACGGCCTGCTCCAGTCAGTGCCCAAGAAGCCAAGCGACGGAGGTGCTCCAGGGCACTTTGGGCCACAGGTTGGCCCAGCACTGCTTCCATCGCTGCCCGCAAGGCCTGCCCAATGCAAGGCAGGGCTGTCCACCCCAGGGCTACAGCTGCTTGCTGGACAGCTGAGCCAAGGCCTCCCACAGTGTACAAAGTGCTCTCGTGTACTCCCCACTCTTTGGTGGCCTCAGTCAGAGTCTCCACCAGGCTTTCAGTGCTGGGGTTCTCAGGAATAGGGTGGCTTGAAAGGACCCTGGCCCGGGGTTCAAAGCAGTCATCCACATAATGCACAGTGAGTGTGAGGTAGGTCAGAGTGCTGCTGTGGTGCCATACATCCAGACTAAGGGAACACTGAGGCAGGGCCCGGACCAGTTCCCAGATTTTCCCTTTCACCTGGGTATACATATCCTTCAGCACTGTGTGGGCGAGGGCAGCAGCTTCAGGGGGTTTGTAGTTGGGGTCCAGGACCGCTAGCATCTGCCCAAACCCCTCACCTTCTACCACCTCCACTGGCATCAGGTCCAAGACGATAAAGTCAGCCACTGCCCGTGTCGTCCGGCCAGGGACTGGAGGCCGGGGAGTTCCAAACTCGCCTGTACCAGGCATTCCTTTGTCGAGGGTGGCCACCTGCGTCCCAACAAGCTGGTTGTACTCACAACGGTGCTTGTAGATGAGATGTTGGCGTAAGTTGGTGGTGTTTCCGCTGTAGCTCAACCGTACTCCACAAAGCTTGCAGATGATCTTGCTCTTGTCGAGGATGCGTCCATAGGCATCCCCCTGGAAGCCAAAAAAAGTCCAGTAGCGGCTTTGAGCCCGGCCCAAACCCACCAGATTTTGTGTCCCTTCCAGCAGGGGAAATGTACTTTCTCCTACAGGAAGGCCTGGCTTGTAGAGGGGCAGGAAAGATGAGGCAGTGGCATCTCCACACAGATACTGGGTTCGAGAAGAAGGAGCATGGGGACCTGGAGGTGGTGACTGAGTCTTGACATGCAGCTCTTGGAAGAGTTTCATCAGTAATTCTTTCTCGCCAAATTCATATTTGAAATGCTCACCTGTGGGGGAATGGGAGAAATTGCATCACAGGGACAAGACACCTGCCCCTTATATTTGAAGGGAGGTTTCTTTTCCTTAGCATTAAAAAGTAGTACCAATTCTGACAGACATATATGTCCTTCCTTCCACAACAACTTTCAAAGGCTGAATTTCCCTCCTTGCTTTTGTACACCTGGAGACATGTGCAGTTTTTCACCTTTTGTACACCTGGAGACATGTGCAGTTGCAAAACTCTTTGGTGAGCAAGCAGGGCAGATACCTGGCTAGAGGTGGTATGATGGAACATAGCAAGAAGGTGGATTCTCAGGAGAAGGGAGCGCATTAGAGGAATAAGAAGCAACTCAGTCTGAAGATTGTGTGTGAGAGAAAGAGGGTGAAGGCAGCCCCTTCCTAATAGTTCACAGAGTATATCAGGGGTGTCAAACTTGATTTCATTGAGGGTAGTTTGATCTTGGGGTGGGCGTGGCCAGGGTGGGTGTGGTTAGCTTGACGTCACTCATGTTGGGGGCGCTGTGGTTTCATCTGCCACAGCCTCCTGCTGCTCTCTGCCAGCGAAAACGGAGCTTTGGAGAGCCGCGTGTATCCTTCTGGACGCCATTTTTATCTGCAATGGCCTCCTGATGTACTTTGCCAGTGAAAATGGAACTCGGGGGGGGGGGGGGGGGTTTCGCTGGCAGAAGCACCGCAGGCCAGTCCTCTGTTTCCAGGGCAAGCCCACGGGCCAGATATAAGCTGAATCGAGGGCTGAATCTGGCCTGTGAGCCTTGAGTTTGACACCCCTGGAGTATATGATACGTGCAGAGAGTTCAGTCTGATTTTGTCTACAAATGTGAAATAATAAAGAATTCTTCTTGAAAGAATAACCACATGTTGTTCTTGGTTTTGGGCCAGACATGAATCTAGTTGTGAGGAGAGGGAAAAAGACGAGAGGGGGAGGGGAGGAGGATGGATGACCCCATCAGTGATTGGTTCTGACCTTAGCCACAACTAGGTTAAGTACCACTGGGAACTATCCCTGGCATGAGTAGGCGACTACAAGTACCTTATGTCTACAACACTATTGGAAAGCCCAGATAGACTTCCCAAGTAAAAGCAAATAAATACGAATGTAAAAATGGCTGAAAACTCACAATAGCAAAATCATGCAAAGAGCTCTGCTTTCTTATGGGATTCTGTAACGTCAACTAAAAAAAATGAAAGAGGAGGGGTTTTTTTTGGTGTCTAGCAACACTGTGTTATATTGTACAACGTTCACTGCCTATAAACAGAGCAGATACTTAACCCAATAGAATGTGACCCCCTTAAGAAAAGACCATGGATGGATAAGTACGTCATCTAGCAAACTTGTTAAACCAGGGGTATGCAAGCTTCCAAGATATACTGTAATTTTTGGACTATAAGACACACCGGAGTATAAAACGCACCTGGATTTTGAAGAGGAAAAAAAGAAAAAAAGTGTTTTTGGCCTCCGTGCGTCCTGTTTTTGCCCTCCCCAGCCCCCAGGAGCACTCTGCAGGTCTCCCAAACCCTCTGTGTGTCCCGTTTTTCACAAAACAGGATGCGGGGGTGGGGGGGGGGTTGGGAGGCCAAAAACAGGGCTCTATTCGGTCTTATAAGACGCACCGACATTTCCACCCACTTTTTTGGGGGGGAAAAGTGTGTCTTATAGTCCGAAAAATACGGTATCTTGGGGGTCACATAGTGAGACTCAATAGCCCTACTTGGATAACAGGGTGCAAACTTTAAAAAAAAAAACCTGTATTAATTGATACAGAGTTGGCATTGTTTGGAGCTAACCCAACCTTCCTGGTCAACTAACTTCATGTGTTATGTGAATTATTTACTACAGAAGTAACTTTCCTTACATCTGAACTATAGGAGCGCACCCCTCCCCTTAAAATTCTGATGTCCACGATTGAGATGAAGCTTAGAGAGGTCCTATTTTTTTGCCATTTACCCTCCGTGACCAGAATACTACAAATGAAAAAGGGACATAAACGGCTGGGAATATAACTTTACGGCACTGGTCCAATCCCGCTATACTTTTTCACCCCCCGAGAGGAAAAAAAAATTTACAGGGAGAGGAAAGTGACAACTCTCTTAGCTCCTTTTTGGCAGCTGAGAAGACTAAAAAGAGGCTGTTAATCACTATTTGAATAATTAAGGATTGCGAGTTCCAAGCACACAAAGGTGAATCACTTAACTTGGAGAATAAATAATTGTATCATTCATGTCATGTGAACAAGGACATTATTTCTTAACAACTTATTTTTTCTCTCTTCCACAACAAGCAGCAAGGAAAATCTTTTTCAGAGACATCAGCTGATCTCTTTTGAAAGCTTGCAAGTTAAGCAGAGTCTGTCCGTTTCTATATTAAATATACTGTTGGCTGAACTGTGGGGCCATTGGACGTATTTACACACAATTACTAATAGAGAAATAGAGAAAAAAATATTACATTGTGAGAAGTTCCTGGTGTTGTTGTTTTTTTCCTATTGATGAGGCAATTCACTGCAGAAAGCAATAGAATACCACTGCAATATTATTTTCCTAGGAAAATCATAAATGGCTGAAAACAAGTAGCCTGGGGCCTCTGATCCCTGAAGGCTTTACACAGTCCAAGGGCGCAAAAGAAATCCTAAGAACAAATAGGTCTGATGGTTACCAATCTCTGATAGGAGGTATCACTAACAGTGGTGAACTGACATACAACATATGCTAATTCTTGACATGTAGTAGTAATGTATGAGTCCAAGGATCTGTTTAGTATGATAGCTAGATATAGATGCATAGACAGACATACATCTCCCTTCTCAACTTTATATGTGTATTTCTTAATCTCAGATCCCCTATTACAGGCCTGGAAGTTTGAGGGTTCTGTGCCATATCTTGGTTGCTGCTAGCACTGGACTCTTCTGAATAGAGAGCTCTGATGTTGTTCTTGGGATCTGCTGGAACCATTCTGTCATTTTAGGAATCACAGCCTCAAGTGCTAACTACCACCACTGGAGTCACTTTGGCCATTATACACTTTCTTCCTAGTATTTTCTCGTTAGTGCGAAGTCTGCTTTCCCCCCCTACTGTGTTAATTCACTGGTTGTGACAGGAATTGACCAACAGGTCTGTCACCCAAGCCTGATGTCATCGGCTGAGGGAAACTGTGACAGGCCCAAAGACGCCCAGCTGGCTTTCATGCCTAAGGGAGGACTAAAACTCAGTCTCTTGGTTTCTAGCCCGGTGCTTTAACTACTGGATCAAACTGTCAAGATAGCTAGATAAATTTTCTTATTTGGTTTCATGTTTTGTTTCTTTTGATGTTTGAATATGTGTGCACATGTATATTTAAAAAAAGGAAAATATTGACTGTTCTCCTTTACTCCCCTTGCCATGCTGGGGTTGCCATGGCCCACATTACATTCACTTGGAAATTTAAATCCTGACCACTGGTTTATTTTTTTTTTATCATAGGATGAGGAATGAACCCTATATTGTTCCTTATTCAGGATACACATTACTAGGCTAAAATGTGATGCTATGGTTGCTATTAAAAACCAGAATCAAAACTTGCTACCTTGTATGTTTCTTTCACTTTGTGAGTGTCTAAATATGCTTAATTTTTATTCTTGGAAAATCACAATTTTGTGAGAGATTTGGGCCTGGCCAGGCTCCATATTTTGATTCTGCTCCTGTTGATGCTCTTGTTTTATTGCACACACACACACAAAAATCCACTACCTCAACTAACTGGTCTTAGCTGAGATAATATAACCACTGTCTCAACCTTGGCAACCCGAAAAGGTGTGAACTTCGATTGAGATAAGTCCAGTATTACAATTTGCAGCCTACAAGGATGGGGCAAAATCGATGCCCAAATTGTGGCTTTTAAATGATAAAGTTTTCAAGTACAAATCTGGAAAGCAATCAAATTAACTACATTTAATTTTAAATAAACAATAGCCTTTGTTTTAACGTTTAGCGTTGCTTTGGGGGTGTAGAAAATATGGTGTACTCATGGCCATGGTGGTTTAACCCAGGTGGTAGATTCTTTTAGAAAATCTTATATGGCTGCTAAGATTGAGGGAAGCATAGAGGCTTGCCATTAGCCCTCTTCCCCTCTCCTCTTTCACTTACCCAAATGCAGTCCTAGAGTGCGAGCATATTCCTCTCCGATCCAGACCAGCAGCTCTGTGTCAGCAGGTATAATTTGGCAGACCCGGTAATATATGTAACCTCGGTATTGGAATACAGTTAGGTTCTGCTCATCCTCAGTGGAGGCACATGCCACATATCTGCATGGAGAACAGGGATGATGAGTCACTAGAGTTGGGGGAGGCAACATATTTTACTTCTTGGTTTTTATACTAGCAGATTATGTCTCCAGGGAACTACAGGCCTAGTGGATTTAAGGACTCTCCTATGCGTAAGGAAGCAACTTCCTTCTTTTTTTTTAAAAAAAGAGTTAGACTCATTTGGAGTCCCAGAGGAACAAATGTGGTAGTGTTTAGATTAAAGCCACAAGGCAAATATGTGGTTTTATGCCATAACTGTGCCATAAAAACATGGTATAACAAAATGAGTTAAGCATTCACATTTCTTTCTTTCTTAAAAAACTAAAATCCCATATATCCCTATTCTTCCTTCTATGTCCTCTCATAGATCATCAACATCTCACAAGATTCAAGTGAGATCATATGCAACATCTTAAGACAATTTGGCAATTATTTGCTTTCTCCCTGTGCTGCTATCTGATGGTGCCAGAAGTTCCATGGAGCCCGGTTTCTGCAGATATCATAACAATTGAGATAGTGGTCATTTCCCCTTCAGGTTTCTACTGGGTTTCTCTCATAAGATGCTCACCTCATCCAGTTGGATTTGGAATCATCAGAAGCATCAATGAAAAAATAGGACCCTTTGTTCCGAACCTGCAGAGAGAATGGAAGGAATAGAAAGATCCAATCAATCCCACAAGTTCTACTTGTATTTTAGAATTTGTTTGGGATTTTAAGCTGGTTGTAGATAACCTACAGCCAAGGTAAAAAAATGGGCTCATGAGGTAAAGAGTGCCATCTGCAGTGGATCTGAAAAACTCCATCTATCTTAAGGCAGAAATAGAGAACTGAGACTGCTGGGAGGAATTATATATTAGTGTTATTTACTATAACACCAAGGTTCATCAATAAAGCTATGCACAGAGTAGTGGCCAAGGGAGGCAAAGGTAGATCTGAAATGGCAGCTTGCAAGTATTGTTTAGCAAACTGTACCACTTCAAGTCCTCACAGCGTATGCAGATACAAATGAACATCTAGCACAGATGAGAGATTCTCAGTAGGGAATTTGAGGAAGGAAGGAAGAAACCATTTTGTTCTTGCGATTCGATTGATAATCAATTGCAACACTGAACCCTTTGTAAATTATCCTCTACCAATTACTGGAACCAAGCAGAGCTTCAGCCCTCCCCTTGCTTCATTATGAGCTTTTGTATACTCACTCAGCTTATTGGGGAAATTGATTTTGTATTTGTTACTCACAATCCCTTCTTCACAGCTGTTACTTCTTTGAAAGGAATGTCGTAAATCATGAGTGATCAGACTCCATTGTTTTCTATCTGGGAATATGAGATTGCTGGCACTTGTCAGCATCCACACACACACACATACCCTTCTGAACTGTCATGAACGCTTACAGTATTTCCGGGGAAAGGGTGTGGACCTGCTAATGACAATACAGCTCTTAAGATCCTGCAGGTATACCTTTTCAAACTTCCTCTTCAAAAGGCAATTGCAAGAGAGCACGACAGGATTTCCTAATATTTGGTTTAAGTGGTAAATCATTTGTTTGCCTGCATTTATTTTCTTCTTCATCATATAAAAACATTCTTGAAACTCTCCTCTTTCTCTTGAATTCTACATTTTTAAATCTACATTTTTAGGGGAGGGGGAGAGGAAAGGAGGGTCTTTTCTGAAAACACAAACCTAATGTGGCAATGTGATATAAGAGAAAAGCTGTGAGCTTTCGACTGGGAATCCCAAATTCAAATCCCCAAACTTCTTTTTTCCATCATGTTGTGTGTATTCTCATGGGATCCTCAGTGCAACCAAGCAGAAGACACTGAGCAACTACTGTCTTTCACTCCATAAAAGGGTAAGGAAAAAAAAAAAAAAGAAACAACAAAAGAAAAAGATATGAGAAATTGTTGTGGCCCGCCAGTGGTCTGCGCATATCGTGGCTGATCCTGACGAAGAGGAGGCTGGTGTGGTGTCACGCCAGCAGCCGGCACAGCCGGCGCTCGCGTCGGACAGCGAGGAGGCTAAAGAGGATGTGATGCCAGAGACAGAGACTCAGCCAGGGTCTTCAGAACCTCCAGAGGCTCCTACAAGTGGAGAGAGCGAAGTGGAGGAGCCTGTCCTCAATGCTCGAGCACGCAGGGCTGCCAAAAGGCAGGAGTGGCTACTCAGGAGGAGGAGGTCTCCTCGAAAGTAAGGCTTGAGAATACTTGGCCACTCCCTTAGCCTATTTAAGTCACATGCCGTTAGTAAGTTTCTTGCTAGAAACAACTCGTATTTCTTTTCAGAGTATTTTGGTTCATCATATCTTGTTTTCTGGGCTGGTTGCCAACCTTTGCTGGTCTTGTTTATTCTTGCTACTTAATAAATATGATAAGAACCGTTAATGTGTGTCAATATCCTCGGAAATCTGGAGCTGGGGCAGAACAGAAATATATGTACAAAGTGCTTTGACTGGCAGGATTCCGCTGTTAAATTCTTGCTCTTCCCCAGAAGCATCTATCTTTCTGAGGTTGTTGGGAATCTAAGCTAAGGAGGGGATTGGAAAACAAGACACCAGGCTGATCACCTCTTTTTTAGTGGCCTCTACAAGATGGTAGCCTGGTGATATCATTGGAGTGCCATTGACATTTTCAGGCAAAGTGGATACTTTGAGCTGCCCACACCAGAGGTACAGAGCCATTTTCAGAGGGCTTTGGGGCTTAAGAGATCCATTTTATCCCTTGGGGCCCAAATGTTTTACTCCGTTCAGGATGTGCTCTGAGTAGACCAAAAAGGAACTGGAATGACTTGTGGGCTGCATAGTTCTGGGTGTATAGCATAAGGACTTCATACACCTCACCAAGAAGCCAAATGTGGCCTTTATCCTCTCTTAGAATCTGCTGCCCACCATCACTAAGCCTCCAAGCTGTCTAGATGCACCCTGTCCTAACCTGTGTCTAAGATTATGTGTTGATGTAAATACTGTATAAGAATAGTAGTAGAGGTTTGTTCACATATTATTTTAAATCAGCCCCTTGGCTATGTGAAGGGAGAAGGATCATTATAAAAAGGTGTGTGCATGTTTTAAAATGCATGAACTAACTTAAAACTAGTAAAATATAACTAGTTTTACGTAGTTATGATTAAAGCACTGGAAAGCAAGGTCTGTGAGTTCAAGTCCCACTTTAGCCATGAAAGCCAGCAGGTGATCTTTGCTCAGTCTCTCTCTCTTTCTCTCTCAGACCAACTTGCCTCACAGGATTGATATTGTGGGGAAAAATAGGATCAGGAAGATGTGTTGGATATGTTCGCCATCTTTAATTATTAGTAAAAATAAGAGGTGGAATATAAATAAATAAAAATAAAAAAAATTAAACTTTCATTTTTATCCTCTCATCCATTTTAAAATAGTCCTATGTGGCCTGTCTCATTTGCAATTTTGATTCTAACCACACCATTCAACAGTGATGTTGTTTTTGACCTAAAGGAAGTTGCATAGCTTTGATGTCCAGGGAGGATGGATAGTCCACCCTTTGTATCCCAAAAGTTTCAGAATCACTGGCTTTTATTGGTGATGATGCAGAGCTATTCAGTAAACACAATGGATTGCACACAAAATTTAACCTGGAAAGAGAAAGCATCTTTTGTTTCCATTCTTCCCCAAATAACTTGAAGAAAATTCTTCCTCCCTCCCTCTCTCCCTTCCTATAACAAAAGAAAGAACAATTAGGTCTGCCTATTCCCTCCACAGACTGACTGAAGAGAAAACAAGCTGAAAAATGCAGTTACATTTTTCATGTAACTCAGCAATGGATTTCCTCCCCCCACTTGCAGGAATTATTTGATAGGGACTCTGGGCAAGCAAAGGACATGACCAAAGACAGCAACAGAAACACCCTGAGCCTATAACATAGCATTTTTCTCCCTGACATCTTTTTGTACATCTGTCTTTAGAACACCTATTTCTCTCTCTACCCTTTTCTGCAAGTTATTTTTGCTGAAGTCTGAAATAATCCCTTGCGGATAGTTTGAAAATAGTTTGAAAATTAGACTAAGAGCTACAGATTCTTGGGAGGGCTGTGTGAACCAAATCTTGGGAGCGGAGAAGGAATCTCAAGTCAGAATAACAGAACCAATATAAAGTGCCAGTGGGAGATCTTTCCTTAACCTGTTTATCTCCAAGCACATTGACCATCTGCCTCAGGATGGCAATTGCAACCCAGCATCTCTGGATCTAACATTAGTTTGGAGAAAAGATAAACTTTTATATCTTTATCCCATACTTTGACCAAAGAGTTCATTATAGCAGATTCAACTACGTCATCCACCACTTAAAAATCTATGAAAATTTATTAAAGTGATTAGGCCTGGCTCAAGATCAAACTTTCCTATGTATAGAAATCTGAATCTGGATTTTTCTGGCTTAAGACCAACAATAGCTTTGATACCACACTGGATCTCTTTTGTAGTGGGTATTTTGTACTAGACTGCAATTAAGATCTGATCAACTACGATTTAGGGCAGTTTGTAAAGTGATCTCCTTGAAGACATCTCAACTGTAATACAAGTCCTTAAGAACAATCTATGTAAACGCACACATTATCTCAGTTCGTACATTATCCCATTCATTGTATTTCAATAGCCAAATTTGGGTTTGAGAGGGGGCTCTGGAAATATATGCTAATCCCTTAACTCCTATTTCCTGTTACAAACCAGTAGCTAACTTTTGGTGGCAGCAAGTTAGAAAACCTCTTGTTTTCCATTCCAATATCTCAATTAAGGTTGTGGGAAACTGAAGTTAGAGGATGACTGAAGCCACCTGCTGCAGGAAATAAGGCTAGGGCAGTGATGGCTAAGGCATCGAGTGCCGAAAAGGGAGTACTTCACACATGCTCATCAGGGCTGCTACCAAGAAGAGGAGCTGCCCAGGGGGCATGCGTCCATTGGATAAGGTACTTCTGGGTTCCAGTGCATGCATACATGCCAGCCAGCAAGTCTACTGCCGCACATGTGCATGTGCCGATCAGCTGGCCTGCGCGCATGCTCAAGCCAGAAAATGGAAGACCAGCTCTTCCGGTTTCTGGCACTGCTGCACACACAAAGGCCAGCTGATCATCGCGTGCGCATGCACACCTGAAACCCAGAAGAGGAATGGGCGACACCGCACATGCCAGGAGACATGGCTCCGCGTATCACTTCGGGCAAGGGGGTAAATTGGGAAAGGGAGGTGGATCCAAATTGGCAACAGATCCCACGCATCTATAGCCAGAATGGCAATATTACTTTCCACTTCCAGTACTACAATTTCTTACTCCCAGGCATTTATAGAAATCACATTTTATCCAAGAACACTTTTTTTTTTCAAATAAAAGGATTTACAAAGTTCTACTAGATGACTCTGGTGGTGAAATATTATCACAAGGTTTTGCTGAGGTAAAGTCAAAGCCAAAAAGGGGTGAGGTAAGCATAGATTAAATTGACATCAATGATCCCTGAAGTTCCTGGAACTATTCTGTAAACAAGGAAGGGAACTTGCACAATACTATAAAGTCCTTGTCAAGAAGTGCCAGTCCATCCATCTCCCAATTTTTATGCAGGAATTCCTTGATTTATAACCATGTTGGAGCCTGCCCATTACAGTCCTAAGTCATGACAGTTTAAAGCATGTCATCATGTGACTAACTCAATATTACATTTTTTCTGGCAGTAATTAAGTGACACACTCTGGTCATTAGGTGAATCTAAAATTGTTAATGAATGCCACAGTCATTAAGCAAACTTACTGTATTGTGCTTTTGCTGAAGACCAGAAGTAAATGCTAGGTTTTGGCAAAAACATTATAAATGATGGTCATGTGACTACAGGATGCTGCAAACAGTCATAAATGTGCCTGAAATGTGTTCATGTGATCACAGGGGCAGCCACTGGAACTAGGCAGTAAGTACATTTTGGGATGGGTGGGGGTGGGTGTCTTTTGTTATATCAAATAGTAGCTCAGCACCTGGTCATAAGTTGAGTCCTAACTGTACTGAGACAAACACACACAAGAAAAAAAAAACAAATCTCTTTCAATATCAACAATTCCAAAATCAAGAAAAAAAATTCATCTGAAGTCTGTGATTAGCTAACATAGACACCAAGAGTTGTATATTATGTTGGACTGGTTGGTGTGTTGTGTATCTCTGTGTGCCTTACCGCCCAAGAATAACGGGTGCAGTCAGGATGTTCTCGGGCCACCTCCCCCTCATAGGGCCCAAAGATGCAGCCACGAGGTAGGGCTGGGACTGCACTCCATACTCCAAGGCCTCCTTGGGAACGCTCCTTGACCAGAAGTCCCTCAGGCAGGGACAGCAGTGCCCGTGATGGAGCTCTTTCTGGAACAGGAGTATCAACTACAAAGGTGGGGGGTCCATGTTGTGGGCAGGAGTCACGGAAATAAAGACGACAGTCTTCACAGACTGTAAGGGAAAAAAGATAAGTTTAAAAATTGGGTCTTGAGGGAGTTCTGTGTCCTGGGACAAGCTCAAAAATAGCAAAGACCATACATCATACAGTAATCTGGGGAATTCAGTGATCAATGAATATGCCATAAGACTATTACAGTATATACTTACAATACCTACTTTACATCCTCTTTCCTGGGTGTTTCTCTTTTAAATCATGGGTCAGCAATCCGTGGCCTATTGAATGCTGAGTTATGATTTCTCATTTTCTTGCACAAAATAAATAAGCAACAAGATATTTCAGTCTTCTAGATTTAGCATGGGAAAGACTTAACTTCATCACTGTTTTGTTCATCACAACTTTCAGCTGACCATTTTAAATTTTTGAAACGTGTACCCCTCAATTGCTGATAGGTTCCTCAGCACTTTTAAACTATTAATCTAAGCAGTAGAGCCATGCTGAACAGGCAGGGAAGACTATGCCTGATTTAAGAAACAAACAAACAAATAAATGCAATTTTCATAAGATTTTAAGAGGATGCTGTCATGATGTCTGTCAGATCACTTGATTTTAGAGAAGACTTGGAAAAGAAAATGGCCTAAACCAAACTTATTCTTAGAAAATTTTGGGAAGGAAAGTACATCTTGTGCACCAACCTGAGGCTGTTTAGGGATAGCTTCCTGCTTATAACCATATAAGATGGTGCTTGAAAGATGTCCATTCCCTCATTCTCTGCTGGCATTCTTCACCTGTGAGCCTTCTTTATATGTTAAAACTATATTTCTCAAGAATTATAATTTTAACATATAGGCTCACCTGTGAGCTTTCCCCATATGTTAAAATTATAATTCTCAGAATTCCTGGCATAACCAAAGGATAGAAAAAGATGGACTACAGCTCCTATATCTTTTGTACATCCTATGTACTGAGGTGGGGGAACATTGTCACTTGTTAGCCTCTTTCTCTTATACAGGGCAGACAAACAACCATCTGTATTTGTGTGTCAGCATATATGTATCTATAACATTGTGAACTTTTTGTTCATAAGGTGGCTGCTTTTAAAATGAACCAAAAGAAATGACTCAGATCTCACAAAGGCAAGCACAGCATTTCTCTTCTAGTCATTAAAACAACTCATCTTTTTTCAGGATTCTAATGCAAGTCTGAAAAAATAACTGCTTTAAAGAGTCAGTTTATTTGTTAATGTGCTGTTAATAAAGCTGCATTTTGTTTTCAAACTTGCCAAAATGTCATGCTGCTTTAAGAACAGCAGAGTGGTGCTATACTCACACCAATTTTGTAGTATTCTTTCGACATCATTTTCAAAGTCTACAAAGCCCAAGTATAACCCCTCCCCATCATTACCTAGATCAAAAGCAGAATTAGCAATTACCAACCACTCACCTAAACTCAGACTATCATAAACCAGAGAAGGTTTTCAAAACTTAATTGCTCTTGTTTTCATTCCCTCCCTCCATACAATATGGCTAGAAACAGAGTGGGTAATTTGGTGGTTTGTGGGAAACAGCCTATTATTCAATCACTGAGACACTGGTGAATAAATGTACTACTCTAGTAAATACTGTGGATTTTTCTGCTAAAAGAAATGGGCTGCAGATACTCTGAAAGTGTTGAAAATAATTTTACATGTAACTCACAGAGCAGTTCATCCTCCAAATGGGTGCAGGCATCCTCAGCCACTTGCATGGTGTGAAGGATTGGGGAATCTGCAAAATAATGAGATATATTTTCCCCATTTCTTTCTTTATTGTGCAATGTCTTGAACAAAACACTGAGATATCCTTACTGCATTCCTATATCATGCATAGATATCTGGAAAGCCATTTTTCCTGGCAGAAACACAGCTTGTTCTCATCCCTACAAGTAATATTAGACCCAATCCAATCTCTCTCTGTCAAATGATACAAGCTTTCCTTTTTCATGGAATTGCACTCCTCCCTTCCTTCTAAAATGATACCTTTATCATACCTTTTCTCCTTCCTGCTCCATTTCCTTGGCACAGCTACTATCATTGTTAATCCTTCCCTTCTAACTAGTTCTGTCCAACCCTGAAATTCCCCAGATGTATTGGATTGTAGTTCCCATCACCCTCAGCCAGCATGATGACAATGCCAGTTAAGCCACCCACAACCCCAACGTCATATTTTAACCTCTAACTTTTCTACTTTTCAAAGTCTCCTGCATCCCCCAACCAGATACAAACCCATCATATTAGATCATGCGCCCAAATAGCGACACCTCATCCCCTCCTCTCCACTTTTTACAAAGAGAAAATCAACTCCCCAAATTAGCCATATCAGCAACTCATTTCCCCATAGAAAGCTTAGTTTCTTATCAAAGAATATCCCAAAGGTGCTTTTTTCTGTCTCTCAAGACGGAAAAGAACTGGTTTTTCTTTTCTGATCAAATAATACTTAGGTTGGCAATTGCCAGACACCTGCTGAGATCAACAGGCACAGTCCCATATCTCCTCTGCCATCCTGACATCTAATGCTGACCTCTTCTCAAATGCTACCCCTTCCTCTTCCCCTGCCCTCTCCCCAGCATGCAAAATCCTAGAGTCTTATCCCCAAACTGCTGATCTCAGATGTCTCACCACTCCTGCCCATGCTAGCAGGGGATGAATTGGGCTTGTACTCCACACCTGCACAGAATTGGAGACAGTTGCTCTCTCTACTCTACGTGCAGCACCTGCAACATCAGTCAAGCAAGCAATAAGGATCTCCCCACCCCAAGGCGGGCAGCTGTTGCTAATCCTCTCCCACCCGCAACAGCCCTCCTCGCCGCCCTGCTCCTTCTCCGTATCCGAACGGAAAGGAAACCCCAACAAATTGCGACGTAGGGCTCTTCTTGCCCAGTCTGGGCGGAGTTGGATCGATGCCGCTGCAGCAGCTCCTCCCGGCGAGCGCCCTCGTGGAAAGGATGGTGCCGTACCGGTGGACACGGGACGCGCACGCGCACTCCGAGGAAGAGGGAGGGAGGAGGGAAGCCAGGCGACCCTCACGCGCCGTTCTCCTCCCTCCCCATTCCAGACAGCGAACCTGCCAGCCACGCGACACTGGATCAGCATCAACAGCCCATCGTTGCTAGCGTGGGTGCCACCACTTTCCTTCTGTGACAGCTCCGTCTCTCCAATCAAAACTCGCTTGAGGGCGGATGTATCCAATGAGAGTCTCACCTTCCCCCCCCCCCTTTTTTTTTTTGCTCGGCCAATAAGATACTTTCTCGATAACAAGATCTGGCCCTGGCAAGGCGGGTTGTTTGAGTTGCATCCAATGGATTCGCTGAATTGGAATAAGGGGGAACGGTGGAGCGCTTCTTTTTCTAGAAGGGGCACATAGAAGCGTTGGGACCAATGGGAGACAAAAGTCGTTAAAGGGCGGGACCTTGTTCCTCGTGTACAGTAATAGGATTTTTAAACAGTAGGTGGCGCTACTCGGCCGACGGTGTTTGGATTCCAAAGCTAATCAGATCAAAGCGGGTTACATTTGGAAGGACAGTCCTGAATTCACAGGGATGTTAAAGAAAGCAACAGCAAAGCACTTACGTATTTTTTTTTGTAATTTTTTTTTTCCAACGTAAACATAAAACAATTTTTTTTTCAGAACGAAGTCTTGGTCCGGTCACAAATGGACTAATTTAACAAATGAAAAACAAACAATTTAAACATAAATTTCAACATCTTAATCAATCTTTCTATTATCTCATCATACATCCTAATCTACTAAAACAAATCTTTTCATATTCAATTAGAAGTTCAATTATAAATCGAAATTCAAAACCGCGTTATCTAAATTTTTTATCCCTTGCTCCTTTTAGCATCAACATTAAACACAAAGACAATCTATTCTATTAATCTATAATTTACCTTACAATTTTATCACCACAAATCTTAATTTCAAAATGTATACAACTCAGTTTTTATTTCAATTTATTAATCAAGATTTCTTTCTATTTTTCTCCTTTTCTAAACCCAATCTATCCTGTTATATTCTTAAACTTTTACACAGAAATCTCAAAATTTACCATTTCATTTTAATTATCACCCAACATTTTCTTTTTCACCCCTTGTTAATAATTATTCTTCAATATATTCTCCTCATTCTCCTCGATTACTCCACCTATTATTTGGCTGATTTCCAGCATAGCATATTTTGGCTGAGTTTTCAAGCATATTATCCTCCTTAACTCCCCCTTTTATTTGGCTGATTAACAGCATTTTTTGTTTTGGCTGATTAACAGCATTTTCCTCCTCGACTCCACCTATTGTTTGGCTGATTTCCAGCATTTCATTGGTTGGCTGATTTCTCAGCATATTCTCCTCCATTAACTCCAACTTCTATTCTACTAACATATTAAAAATATCTTTTTCCAGATATTATTTTTTAATCCACTGTCTCAACTATACTCTTCCAGGGTGTATCCCCATTTATTTCTTAATATTAATCATTCCCAGTATATATTAAATATAATCACAATTATAATTTCCATCTGTGTACCTTAATACATCATCTAAAATCATTGAGAATTAATCATAATTATCATCCACCACTTTGTTATCAAATTAAAACTAAAGCATGTTAGAACAAATTATGCTTTTATGAACATATCACTTTTAGTCACCTTAACTTCCCATTTCTATTTTTATAATATTTCTGAACACTTCTTATTTTTATTTAAAGCTAATTTAAATTTTGAACCATTTAAACAATTAAACATTCAAACATTGCTATCTAATTTATCTATTTTGCTTCTTCTTTTCCTTATCTGTCCATGTGCATTTCAATTCAAAGTCAATACTTCCCTGCTTAAAACTCTGCATATCCTTTTGATTCCATTATAAAGTCTGCTTCCAGTAAAAACATCGGCTTCTCAACTTCTATTGCTGCGCCAAAACTTTTGTTGCTGCGTTAGTTAATTAAAAGTTTATTAAACATTGTGTCTCTTCTTTCTTTGTAAAACCATCAAAGGACAGAATAGGGGACTCCAAAGTTCAAAAAACCATAGTTCTTTTCAAAGTAATCCACAATATGTAGCAAGTCAAATAGGTTCTTTTCAGGGAAAGCAAATTTCCACAATGAGCACTTCCACTTAGTCACAGTTTCAATCGCCATTTTGAAACATTTATGTAGCAATCCGTTTGATCTCTTTGTCTGGCTTTTAAAGGTGGCAAATCCTTAGTTTGCTTTTTTCTTTTCAAGTTCTCAATTTTAAGAAAAAAGTTCAAATATCAAGCTTTATTTAATAAGCAATTCCCTCCAATCAATCAGTGGTGAAATACAGTTCTTAAAGGGTTTAAAACTTCTTTCCCTTTTTTCCCCCCAGAATCTTCAAGCTCCTCAGATCTTCAGCCGCTAAGTAAGGCTGGGAGTCTTATTTATAAATATATCCCGATTTGTCGCGGTCTTGGGGCAGCCACCATGGCTGCCGTTCCCCGCCGCTGACTTAGAGGGTTGCCTCTGGCCTCCGAGGAACTTGCCTGTTCCTCTCAGCCACCCAAGGGCTCCCTCTTTTTTCCCCTGTCCCTTCAGGACAGGGTAGTTCTGCAGACCTGTCAGCGGCGGTTAGCCAGACGAGGTTTTGGCAAGGCTCATCAGAGCCCCGCCATTTTCCCGTCTGCATCGCTGTGACGTCAAACCGGAAGTCCCAGCAAAGCACTTATGTATTTTTAAAGATGTGTCAGCAGAGCTGGGTTGCTGTTGTAGAAGACAATTTCAAAGTAATAGCATCTGAGGGGCTTCGCTAGAAAGAACAGATTTGGCAAAGGTTTTGCTAAGTTTGCACAATATACTAATCAACTCAGGCTGATCAATAGAAGTATTGCAAAAAATGTGCAATTGGTAACATGGCCCTCAGGCTAACAAAAGTCCATTTGTCTGCACGCACATAAAAACAAAATCTCTGATTAGTTCAGATGCTGCTATGAGATGGAAAGCCAAACTACCTTGCTATACCATTCTACTGCTCTCTTCACTTAACAATTGTGGTTGGGACTAGAAAATCCATCACTGAGCAATGTGGTTGTTAAGTGAAACATGCAACTGCATGGGACTGACAACCACTTCAGTGGTGGGTTTCAAATTTTTTTACTACTGGTTCTGTGGGTGTGGCTTGGTGGGCGTGGCTTGGTTGGTGTGGCAGGGAAAGGATACTATAAAATCTCCATTCCCTCCCCACTCCAGAGGAAGGATACTGCAAAATCCCCATTCCCTCCCAATCATCTGGGACTCGGGAGACAGAGAATAGATGGGGGCGGGGCCAGTCAGAAATTTTACTATTGGTTCTCCGAACTACTCAAAATTTCCACTACCGGTTCTCCAGAACTGGTCAGAACCTGCTGAAACCCACCTCTGCACCACTTCTTCTGCGGTCACTAAGCCAATCATCCACAGGCTTTAAGCAAGGTATCACGTGACCATGACTTGCAATTTTACCGCTGGCTTCACCATTGACTCTGCTTGTCAGAAGTCTGTTGTGAAGCATACAGATGGCAGTCATGACCATGTGACACTGCAACAGTCATAAATGCCCACCAGTTGCGAAGTACCTGAATCTGGATAACTGGACTGTGAGGTCACGTCAATAGTCGTACTACAAGGTCCAGTTGTAAGTCTTGTTTTTCAGTGGCTGTCATAACTCTGAACAATCACTAATCGGGCTGTCCTTAAGTGAGGATTACCTTTGAAAATGAAGGCTTCAAAAGGTGCATTAACACCATATTGGTGGTGATGGGGAAGTGGCACAGGAGAGGGAGTCTAGGAGCCAGAAAGCAAGAGGACTCAAGATTTCCCACAAATGGAAACATGGACCCGATTCTGCAGAGTACCAAATCAAACTTTCCTTTGTTCTGGTTTCAAATAAACTGAAATAGGGAGGTAGAAATGATTCAGCTCTCAAAATTGGAACCAAAGTACTACATAGGCCTCTTGACTCAAACCAGAGCCAAGCATTTGTGTGAAGGTGCTCTGGATTAAACTTTTTTTTTTCTTTTCCTTTTTAGCAATGTATAAATAGAAGGTTATAAAAAGGGTTTTCTTTCTTTAGTAGCAATATGAAATTTCTCAGGGAAGCAAATTGTTATTTTTAAGTGGAAAGGCTCCCATAGTAGCTGGTATAAAAATGTGGTCTCTGACTTAGTCTCCCTACCTTTTTCTCATCATATCCTAAAAACAATTGCAGCAAGGATTAATGGCCGGAAGATGTCTAAAAAGATCATTTGATATTATTTCTCCTTGTCGCAACTTTCAGATTTTTTTTTTAAAATTTGATTTATATGCCTCCCTTCTCCGGAGACTCAGGGCAGCTTACAATGCGTTAAGCAATAGCCTTCATACTTTTGTATTTTTATCCAAAATCAGCTTATTGCCCCCACAATCTGGGTCCTTATTTTACCTATTTTAGAAAGGTTGGAAGGCTGAGTCAACCTTGAGCCTTGGAGAGATTTGAATTTACAGTAATTGAAGGCAGCTGATGTTAATAACAGTGCTTTAGTCTGCTGCGCTACCAGGGCTGCACTCAGATTGTTATATGCCAGATGGAATCTCCATATCAGTGTTTCTCAACCCAAAACTGATTCTTTTACCTATGTCTTCTCAGCAGCGTCTCTGCAAATTTGGTGAAGAAAGGAGAAAACAAAGAAGCTTAATTAGAAATTGTGTTTTTAAAAAAAATTAACAATGTAATTCTTGTTCACAAGAATTGTGAGATCACAAGGATTCAAAGTCATACATTACAAGCAGTCCTCAACTTACAACAGTTCATTTAGTGACTGTTCGAAGTTACAACAGCACCAAAAAAAAGAGACCTATGACCGTTTTTCACACATCTGAGCATTGCAGCATTCCCATGGTTGCATGATCAAAATTCAGACTAATTTGGCAACTAATATTTATGACGGTTGCAGTGCCCTGGGGTCATGTTTTAATACCTTGTGATGAGCAAAGTGAATGGGGAAGCCAGATTCTCTTCACAACTATCTTATTAACTTAACAACTGTGGCAAGGAAAGCCATAAAATGGGGCAAAACTCACTTAACAAATATTTCACTTAGCAACAAAATGTTGGGCTCAATTGTGGTCGTAACTCTGTACAGTAAAGCTGAA